TAAAGGCAGATTTGGAATCAGTGTGCAAAGCTCTTCAAAGCAGTATGAGTCTTATTTGAAAAGGCCATTTCTACTAAGCGCTTTCCTTGTTAGAAAACAAGGAAAAGTGAGAAACGGAAGATGGCAAACTCCGTCTCAATAGTCTTGGGCTCCTCCCATATATACCTTCGTCAGTGACGGACCAAGGTCCCCCCCCCCCCCCCGATGGGTCGCAAAATTTTTGAAACTTACTTCCATGGATTATAAAAATGTGCAAGTGACTTGTTTATTCTTGTGAATAATTAATATAATTTTAAAAATTCGCAACTCAATGAATAACTAAGCTTTCTTGATGGAGCAGGAATGCAGAACTTCGGACAACACATTGAACATAAGATGCTTGATCGTACAGACATGCTGCCTTGCTTCACCATCAAGCACACGATTGACATGCTTCAACGTGTTTTCGCGCGCGAATTTTAGGTAAAGCCAGTACAAGTGGCTTATTCATGGCGCACAGTGGATCATCTGTCCTGAGGCTTTGTCCATACTTTATCCGTGTTACCGTTGTTACGTGTGTTACTAGTGTTACCCGTGTTACCCGTGTTACCAGTGTTACTCGTGTTACTCGTGTTACTAGCTTACCGCTTTTATTGCCTTTGAAAAGTGAAATGATTACAAATTCAGTCTCATTCTAGAACGTAATCTCATCAACTGGTGGGTAATATGAGTAACTAACTAACATACCCGGCTACGTCCGGGTAGCTTCTTTAGATTAAACAGATTTATCAATGTTCAAATCGCTTTGCCTGCTATGATCTCTGTGCCCTATAAACAAAATGCTTTACTTGCGAACCCAGTGCTAGTCCAAATTTGGAGTTCATTCGACGGTAATTTTCGGAAGAAGTAATTCGAATCTATAGACAGAATCGCATTGTAAAAGCTCACTAGTATAAGTGGAATAAAGGTACAGATCATATTGCGAAAATATAACATCTCCGTCTATTCTTGCTACTTTGACATTTGTTGGGATCTCTTGAAAAGGCGTGCTTATTTTACTTAACAGGTTTACTCGGCTCCCACGAATGTACTCGTAAGCATAGTGGCATGTTAGTCATGAGCATATCACTGTTCACAATAAAAACATTTTCTTTGTGCGGTCCTCTAATCGGTTGCCTTCTATCTATCTCCAGTGCTTCCATCGCAGGAAATCCAACAACACCTTCCCATTTTTTGGGCATTTTGCTCTACAAACTGGACTGTTACAAAAGTGAGGGTAGTCTGATTTTGTTTCCTTATATCGGTACTACAATTCAAGATCCTTCCATTTCCACGCTTTGCGACAAACAACGTTGCTTTTTCTAATAATATAATTGGATGTGTTTTATAGATAACTTGATGCATGAATATGCTCAGGAAGAAATGTCCTATACGTATGTACGTGTACGTGTAATGTACGTGTACATGAGCGGCCGGATCTTTTCATAATATTCACAGGTTATCCGGCTTGGAATGAAGTAGAGGAACTGCTTCCGGGCAAACATGAGTGGTCGACAGAACCTCACACGAGGATCTTTAGACAAAAGCTCATTAAGTTCATAGATGTGATAACGAAAAGTTGTATATAGGTAGATTCGCTGTTTTATGTATTCGATAGAATGGCAAAGAAGGGGCCTTCCTCACTCAAACATTCTGATATGGCTGAAAACAGGATTCGCCCAAATCAAGGGATGACATCATATCTGCTGAGTTCCCAAACCCGGATGAGGACCCCATTCTGTTTGAGATTGTTTCCAAAAACTAATTCACGGGTCGTGTAGTCAAATCAATCCTTTTTCACTCTGTATGAATAACGGAAAATGCATCAAGAAGTATCCTGACAAATGATACCGGAAACACAAAAAAAGCACGACGGATGTCCTTGCAGACGAGGGAGTAAGCGGAATGGTGGTTACACGGAACTAAGGTTAAGGGTTGAGAACAAATGACAGAAATAGAAGCGGATGATAGACAAATCGTACCGTACACCCCCCCCCCTTTGTCGAAGATGTTCCAAGCGCACATAAATGTAGAGTACTGCAGTTCAGTAAAATCTGTCAAGTACATATGCAAGTGCGTCAGGGAGGAAATATGGCGGTGTTTTGGCTAGAAGGCGACAGAGCTCTGAATGATGAAGTCACACAGTTTCAGAGAGGGACGCTACATTAGTAGTAACGAAGTCGTGTGGCAAATACTACACTTCAAGATGCACGGTAGGTATCCTCCTGTTGTTCATCTTGCCGTACATCTAGAAAACGGACAAAGGGTTTACTTCACTTCGTATGAGAACAAGTTGCCCAGCCTCCGAACACCATTTAATCGCGTTTTTTCTTCTGTGTCAAGAGGACGCATTCGCAAAAACTCTGCGTATCCAGACGTGCCGAAATACTTTACAGTGAACAAAAACTCAAAAAAGTTCTGTAAAAGAAGACGAGGCTCCGCAGTACCTGGACATGATGCGCGTGTTATGAAGTCCAAAACTTTGTCTTGTTCAAGGACAAAAAATCACTTTTGTAAGAGGAGGAATTAAAAGTAGCGCGCCTAAAGCAGCAAAAGTTCGAGTTACAAATCCAAACAGCGAAATACAAAATTGAGGAAGCTAACTGAGATTGGAAGCCGCAAAGCAGAACGTTTCTGCTGCTGCTCAAACTATTCGACACATATCTTTCTTACTATGATCTATCATAAGATTTGAATAAATTTGTTCAAAAAATGATAAAATCTTATAAGACTTCGTGCTCGGATGTCGATATTTGCCATTGCAGGTAAAAAGAATTCATTAAATGATATGCCAACGTTTCGGCGGGCCGTCCGCCTTCTTCAGGGCTTCCTCATCCTTGCCAGATCGGGATATAGAGACAGAACAAGATACTGCGCTGCAACCTTGGTCGACAGCTTAAAAACTGTATTACAATAAAATCTTGTTTGATTGACTTTTTCGGTGTGCTAATCATCTTCTCTCAATGAATTATTTTTCTCGAGGTGTTCATGCCAATAAATGAAAAACAATTAAAATAGTACACTTTGAACAACTAACTACCAACTTATTTGAGGTGATATTCGACAATGCCACGTCGGATCAATGATTGAACGGTTACATCAATCTCACAACATTTACTGAGAGCTAATTTGCAGATTTTTCAAACTGAAGCAACGATTTACCATGAAACTAAAAATATCGTTTCTACCTACTGAATCTGGAATATCTGGCTCTGATTTGGCAAGCTTCGGGATATCCCGGTAATGTTGATTTACTTTCAGTGATTCTCGGCTCCCTCATGCGTTTAGCAAAATTTCTCAAGCAGCAACATAATATAAATTTTGCGCTTCTCGTAGGTTTATGTCTGGATGGTAGATCTTTAATATTTTCTAAGATTCCAAAGATTCGCCTTAGTTCATTATGAAGAGCTTCAAAGTGGCGTTTTAGGGATCCAAATGCATTTTCAATTACTACGGTCCTCTACACTGTGCGTCAGTATGTCGAGAAAAATTACATTTGCGAGGTGAATTAGGATCACAATAACCGTACTGTATCATATACCTGCTGGTGTTCATTGTTCGTTTAGAATGGGTTTGAGGAGAAAATGCTAGGAGCGATAGGCAAGATCTGATAGTGAGAGTAAGAAAAAAACCCACGCTGGTATATAGCAACTGATCCTCGTCCTGGTCCTTTGACGACGGCCGATGCACCATAAAGTTGTGCCGATTTCCTGCTTCAGCCGTCCAAACTGTCGTGTCAACACCAGCGTTGAATAACTGCTTTATCGGGGGCGAAGTCACAATAAGAATGATCATCACCCAAAAAGGGCAATGAGTAAAGCATACATGAACAAACGTTGAAACTACATAAACACATTTCTACATTACAGCAATGTCTGCTGGTTTCTCTTGATCGCGATCCGCGATACTCCCGGCCACAGCATTGAATACATTTCTTCTTATAGGTGTACCAAAGAGAAAACCGTTCCAATATAGATTGTGTATATAGATAAGCAACGATATAAAGTATAGTATACCATGTAGTACATATAGATACTTCATGCAAGAGTGGTTAATGTCAGGACCATAATATAGAATAGAAACCATTTCGTCCTTGAATTGCGGGGATTTCTTCTTCTTGTGGTCGTCACAACATTTTCTACTTACAACTCATCTGGCGGGATCTGAAAATATAGGGCTTCTCCGGCCTTTCTTCTTTTGTATTTTCATTCAATGACGACTCTTTTCCTGTTGTCTCACTCATGTCGTCGATAATTTCGAGTGGAATCAGCAGATTGACTGGTCGCCTGACTTTACGTCTGTTACTGGTTACTAACTCTGCCTCTCAGATTACACCATCTGCTCCACGTCGAATATCCGTTATACACGCCAATTTCTGCGAATTTCTTGGCAAGACTGGGTTGCTGATAAGTACTGCCGATCCCACTGTGGGAGTTTCTTGTCCAAGTCTTTTTCTTGAGATGTTTTTAGTTGTTTTGCTCGTAGGCTAGTCAAATAATGGTGCTGCCATACTTTCCAAAACTGTTCAGTGATTCTGCATGATGACTGAATCACTTCCTCCGCCTCGCGGCGCACTCGTAATGCTCGCGCTTCTTCCGGTGGCAAATATGTGGTATCTCCAGTGGTTTTGGCCTTTCCTCTCGGTGGAAATGTTACCTCCAAGTTCTTCTGGTAGAAATCGATAGGGCGTATTGCTGTTAATTCTTTTTGAGAGGAGATCTGATAAGTCAGACAAGGTCGAGAATTCAGACATGCTTCAATTTCCGTGAGAATTGTATGTAAATGATCTCTTAACTTCTCGACTCTTTCAAAGATTTCAGCTTGGCGATCCTCATTCAATCCATGCATTAATCGTCCGATGAAAATGAGCATAATCGCAGCTGCTCGTCCAGTAGAAATACAACAAATTTTTGTTAGATCCAACAACGGCTCACGCAGATCCTCTTCCTGATGTGGCATCGCTTTTTTGACCATTAGAACAGCTATGCAATCTTCAAGAATTGGTTATCCATCGGAAACTTTTTCAGTTTTTCCAACTGATCTTGCATTGTCCGATCATGTGCTTGTAGGAAGTTTGGATCCAATTCCAGTCTGTGTAAGATACCAACAAGCCGTTTGTTCGCTATGGCTCTGTTATCCGGTAGTTGGGTGTGGTCCTCCTTGAACGGCAATCGTACATAGTAAACGCCGTTGCGTCTGTGTATTGTATCCTCAAAAAATCTCGCAACTTTTGCGTTGGTAGCTTCCTTCTCCGCATCCTTTGTACCAGTGAACTCACATATGCCAGCCGAGTCCATGGTCCAGTACTTGTCCCATCGATCTCTATCGTCCTCAAAGACTGCTTCGAAGTTCGCGATTCCCTGGACCATTGCCACTGATGTGTCAGACACTCCCAGTGTCCTTTCCGACATATCCACTGGTCTCTGTTGCTTTCCTATGAGCAAATATCCAAACTTTGAAGGTACCAATAGTAGTCCTGATGGGAGCTGGTATTGCGGAGACAGACCTTCCAAGAAGGTCCATAGCTGATCACAACCTAATAAAATCTCAAGATTAAAATCTCCTGTCTGGCTTGTCTTGGACAATGTTATCCTGTTTTTCCTGAGGAAGGCTTTATCTTGGGTGCAGAGAGAGGTCTCACTTCCTTTTCCTGTCATTACCGGAATCATGAATAAACGCAAATTATGTTGTTTTCCTTCAAGATCGCTAACTTTCACATGCGTCAGCCCATATTCGGCACACTTTGGCTCCGTTGTGCCAAACGTATACATTTTAAGACGTTGCTTTTGTGTGCACTTTACTCCAATGCGTTGTGCTAGATTACTGTCAACGAATGATTGGTCGGCGCTGGTATCGAAAAGAATTTTGACTTCTATCCACTTTCTTTCAGAGTTGTTCCATACTTTTCCTGTTCCAGTGAGAAGTAGCACCTTATCCGCTTTCTTTTGACTAGCAAATTCTTCACGGTGGGCAATAGATTCACACTCATTTGCAAGCGTCCCGTCTCTTGAGTCGTTTGCCTTGACAATAAGTGTCCCATTAGTGTCTCTATCCTTAGTAGTTTTTAATGGACGTTCTTTCGTTTGATGTTGTGGTATCGCCTTTGAATTGATAGATGTTCCTGTTCGAGTCTGTGTTGAAACTACGCCTTCACGGATATCGCTTCTTTTTGGGCAAAGGGCGTGATGTGTTTCTGTCCTCAACATACCCTACATCCAGCACTTTTGCAGTATTCCACAAAATGTCCTATATTCCACAATTCAAACATCTCTCGGATTCTTGAAAAATTCGGCGTCTTTCTGAGATCTAACTCTTGTGCACGTGGCTGTCTTATGATCCGTGGAATTACAAAACATGCAAGCTGTCGTGGAGTCATTCTCTCTGGTGTGTCCCATCCTGGTTTTTCCCGAGTTGAAGACCGCTCTTCCTTCGGTGCTAAATGAAATCATTTCATTGATCCTTTCTTCCATTGATAAGCATTCGTCTAGGGCTGCAATGGTATCCCTCATTTGCCATTCTTCTTCCAGCATTCCCGGAGTGAGGTAATGTTGGAGCACTTTGCGTTGGACTTCAACAGTAAACTTGGACAGAGGTTTCTGCGAAGCGTATGATCCATTCAGACAAACTCCATGCGCTTCAAGCTAGGAAACCAGAGGTATCGTCCCCCCCACAGCTCGTGCTACCCTTGTGGCGTCGCCGACGTGCCACGTGTGACTAACACATTGGCAACGTTGGCAGCAACAGGTTGGCAACATGCAGCAACATGTTGGCGCAGCCAAATGTTCTGTCAATATGTTGTGGCATGTTGCAAACATGTTGTTGTCACGCTGCCAACATGTTAGCCACACGTGGCAGGTCTGAGACGCAGACCAAGGGTAGCACGAGCTGTGGAGGGGACGATATGATATTTTCCAATAGCCGACGTTGAGACTCCATCCTCGTATCATCCGCACGAACTTGCTCAAGACGAAGCTGAAGCTTGCTGATAACTCTCGCTTTTGTCTCCGTATTTGCGATGTGGCATCGCAACTGCTTCGCCATAATTATCCTCGGTAATAATGAAGCGACGGATAAGTTCGCGGGCATCGCCTTGCAGAGAGTTTATGAGATAGTTGAACTTCTGCAGTTTGCGAGCGGTTTGCTTGTCTACGTTGGCTTCAAACAATCGCCAAAAGTTTTTCAACTCCCATAATTCACCAGTGAACGTGGGAACTGGAATGGGTGGTAAATTCGGCCTTGTTATTTCCACGTTTCCCACCGACATGCTGAGAGTAGTTGTGTTGGACGTTTTTGCGTTTTTGACAAGTTCAAGACACTTTCTCAAAGGTTCCAGTTGAATTGTGACAGTTTCGGCATGATCAATCGCTGCCTGAGCCTCTTCCAGATAATCTCCTGATCTTGCTCCTCTGTCTTCACTCATAGAGTCCACAACCTCCGCAAATTTCGACAAGCTTGTCGAAGTTAATTTCGTCATTTCTTCTAACTCAATCGCTTTGCTTTGGATGCAGTCTTCCCTTTCATCATTAAAGCTCTCCTTTGCCGCCTCACATTCTTCTGCCAAAACCTTGAGTTTACGGCAATGCCGTGCCAGTAGCGCTTTCGCTACTGCTAATCCAGTACGTCCGACCATTGGGTAAAATTGTGCCTAGATACTGTGACTTCTTGCTCGCGTACTCCTGAGTGAGGTGCCTGTTCTCGAGATCCTGTTCCGCAATCGACCTCCTTTCTCCGATGCCTTTTGAAATGAAAAGTAAGAAAAAACCCACGCTGGTATACGGCAACTGATCCTCGTCCTGGTCCTTTGACGACGGCCGATGCACCATAAAGTTGTGCCGATTGTCCTGCTTCAGCCGTCCAAACTTTCATGTCCAAACACCAGCGTTGAATAACTGCTTTATCGGGGGCGAAGTCACAATAAGAATGATCATTACCCAAAAAGGGCAATGAGTAAAGCATGCGTAAACAAACGTTGAAACTACATAAACACATTTCTACATTACAGCAATGTCTGCTGGTTTCTCTTGGTCGCGATCCGCGATACGCCCTCCAAAACTCCATGTGATTTTTACTTGATCGAAACTGTGGCGACTTGTTTTAGGCGGGAGGGTGGCGCCTTTGAGAATTGAGCGGAAGGGTGGCGCTCTTTGCTTCTGTTAATCAACAGGTGGTTCAGTGGTAGCTTTTATTACCGTTCGCTAGGAACGTATGGTCACAAGTGATGAGGAGGCGGCCACGCCTAGAAGGCGTGACCGAAGAGAGAGAGAGGGGGGCGGAGGTGAGAGGTTTTGGCATGTGCCAGAACACTCCCGCCAGCCCCACGAAATGGATACAAGGAAAAATTACAACAAGCAAACAATATACACATCTACAATACAAAAATCTACTTGCTCCTTGCCCATCAGTGTCGTTCCCTGCCCATATGCGCTGTCCTCCTCAGTTGTGCCGCCGTTTGTAGGGACCGCCGCCTTGACAAAACGAGCAGAGGAGTACATTGTGTGGTTTCCCACACGCCGCACACCTCACGCCGCAGTCGTCTTCATGAGTTTTCTTCAAGCACTTTTCGCAAAGGCCAAGCCGTGTTGCTTGACACGACTTGGCCGCGGCGTCCGGGAAACGGTTGCATCGCGTTGTGGTATGGCCATCGCGGTTCTCCTCGATCGGACAGAATATACGTGCCGACGTTGTCGGCACCTCCTTGCAACTTATCATTAGTTCTGCTAAACACCGTTAAGGTCATGCCATAAGCATGACCTGCTGCGATACGAGTGTATTGATGCCCAGATGTTTGTGATGCTACTTTACCATGCCTTCAATCACCAGCATTCTACCATTGCACCCATGCGGGCATGTTGATTGACTCAATAAAGCTGCTAAACTACCTTGTCTACCAGCAGCTACACTGCTCCACCAAAGGCGCTATTTCCGCCTAAGGCACTGAAAGCCACGGAGCCACCACATTTATGGTGCATCGGCCAAATACGCAAGGCCCATCACTCGCCTCAGCTGCACAAAGGTTAGCTATTCTAACCTCGGGACTCAGCGCCCAAAATCCGCTGCTTCACACTCGCGACAGCCACTCTCTACCGCAATCCGGGACATTTTCCCAATTTTCACTAGAAAAGTAGCGAACGGCTCAAAAGCAGCCATATTTTTGCCATAATCGCAAATTTTTGCACCAAAAATGTCTCTAAAATTTTTCAAAGAGGCAATTTCATTTCACTCGGAAGCACTAGCAAAACTGCTCAAAAAATTCGAGCCTATTACCGATGTTAAATTCACTCTGCAGCACAATGAAGGCTTGAAAAAGAAATGTTTCGAAAATTTAGATATTCTCCATTTATCTCTATCGCAAGTCAAAGCGAGATCGACGTTGCAGTCAATAGTCGACAAATTTGAGGAATTTTATCTCACGCACTTCAAAAGCGAGAGAAAAACAATCATACTTCAGCTACAAAAGCTTGAAAAGGAGGCTGACTTCTATCAGTTGCTTTCCGATGCATATGTTTTTGTTTGTATTGTAGAACATCAAATCCTATACGCAGAAACATACAAAGGCAATTTTGAGATAAGCCAAGCAGTCAAAGAACGGCAATCCTGCCTGTTCAAAACCTTTTTACACGATGCGGAAAGAGAGATGGATACTCTCGCGATGATGAGCGAAGATTTCGCGACAATGGAAGAAGACGAGGAAAGCGAAGAGCGCTTCAATCAGCATTCTGAAGACCGCACAATTTTGGCTCGCGGAGATACCATGGATGGCAATATACCAGCAAAAGATGATATACCGACTTCGCAGGTCACCATGCCTGGAAGAGGTAAACGACGAAGCAATGATGAGATCGACAGGCACCCGATCGGAAACCCGCGACGAGGCAATGAGAGTAAGAAGAATTATCAGTGTTATTCCCTTCACTTTCCATTTTTGCCGTTGATGAATTTGGATACACTAAGAAATCATAATTATCCACTATACCCTGCCTTACCACTTGCTTCTCTGCGATCTTATGCCAGCTGGCACGACTGCATTAACCAGCATCTCGCTCTCAATTACCAGGCTCCCCAGATACGTCCATTAAGGTATCCTGATAAATATTCGCTTGGTATTCTTAGTTACAGTGTTTACATTTATGCTGCTCGTTTCGCTGTTTCTTATTTGTTCCCCTCGCTGGCGGGAGTGTGCCGACGTTGTCGGCACCTCCTTGCAACTTATCATTAGTTCTGCTAAACACCGTTAAGGTCATGCCATAAGCATGACCTGCTGCGATACGAGTGTATTGATGCCCAGATGTTTGTGATGCTACTTTACCATGCCTTCAATCACCAGCATTCTACCATTGCACCCATGCGGGCATGTTGATTGACTCAATAAAGCTGCTAAACTACCTTGTCTACCAGCAGCTACACTGCTCCACCAAAGGCGCTATTTCCGCCTAAGGCACTGAAAGCCACGGAGCCACCACAGATTGTCTGTGCTCTCGTAGATAGAAGTGAGACCATAAGAAATGTTTGGTACATTTTGCACAGATTCGACTTTTCCACAGCCGTAGATTGCGGCACCGAACATAGTTTTCGCTATGCGTAGACCAGAAGGCAGTCTTCGTGATGACCCTTCTTCTATAACTAAGTCGTGATATCGATCAAGTCCGACCAGTATTTTGGGCATCTGGCGTTCACCTTGCAACTTGGAATTTGCCAGGCATATTTCATGAAGTTCGAGAAAATCTGCGTCTGCTTTTGTGAGATTGACTGAAGGAAAACCATTTGTTATAATAGGTTTGGTTTGTACGGTCATATTGATCTCCTTGCCATATGCTGAGCGAATTTTCAGAGGTACTGTGGAACTTTCGAACCTTTCAATGTGTCCTCCGATGCCGGACATAACGCAGGTTTCAGTAGCTAACTTTGGGAGTCCAAAATCGCTAGCGGTATTATCTTCTATGATGGTTTTTTGTGCTCCTGTATCAAAGAAGAACAAAACTTTTTCGAATCTATGGCTGTTATTATTGTAGAGGCTACCCTCAGCTGTCATTAGAACGAGTTGTTCGCGATTTTCATTCGGAACGTTTACATGAAATGAGTGGTTGGTTTCCTGCTCTGCCTGCAAGAATTGGGTGGTGGCTGGTTGCATTCTCCGTGCATCATTAATAGGGCGGTTGTTGAACCTGTTATCACCCGTAATCCGTCTTGGTTGCGCAGAATGATTTTGGGTTTCATTTCTACGTGGCCTTCGATCGACTGGTGATTGCCACGCTCGAGTGGACGAGGATTGTCCCGAGGATATGCAGAGGCAGGAATGGTGTTTCTGCCCGCACAATCGACAGTCTGGTAAGTTGCATTGATTGCTGGAATGCGTATTACTGAAGCATTTCCAGCAGAGATTTTTGTTTTTGGCAATTTCTCTGCGCTTGTGTATATCCGACACCGTTCGGCAAGATGCAGACGTGTGGTTTGTGCGGTTGCAAAACGCACAACTGCAAACCTTTTTTGGGAAAGTATCCCGTTCATTTTCCTGCGCGGAACCCCACTGCGATTCAACGAAAAGTTTGGACGAAATCTCTTTCTCCAGGAGACGCAGGAGTTCGGATATTTTGAGGTCTTTGTTTTCCTGATAATTCAAGAGGACATCTTTGACGACGCCGTAAGGGAACTTTTTTACGATTGTCTCAGTCCACATGGGGTCACTCATCGTTCGAATATCATAGCCTGTGGATACTAATTGATTGACAAGAGAGTTAATGTAATCCAAACAATCATCGCAGCTCTTTGCGCTGCGCGTTGCAGGTTTTAGATCGAACAGTTTCTGAATTATTCTTGATCTGTTAGCTGGTTGGTTCTCGAATTTTTCTTTTAGAGTTTTCACCATCCAGTCATAGTTTTTGGCTATCGGTTGTATTCCCTCAATAGCTTTTTCTGCTTTGCCTCTTAGGCTGTTTTTCAAATAGAAAGTTTTTTCAATTTTGCTTATCTCATCGTTTTTGTGGATAAGTGATTCATACATAGCCCAAAATTCTGGAAACTCTTCTTGGTCTCCGCTAAATGTGGGCAGATTTACGTTCGGAGGTCTGACTGACCTTATTCTTGTAGGTTCAGTGTTCAGATTATCCTCCGTTCTTGCTGAATTTGACTCTGCTAGGCTTTGTGCAGAACCCTCTTGCGTTGAGCTCGCAGAACTGCTTTTTTGTCTCCTTTGAGCTTTTGCCAAGTTCATTCTGGCATCTGTGAGCTGTGCCTCTAAAATGTGCGTGAAGGTTTCGGCTTCCGCAAGAAGTTTGAAAACTTGAGTGTCTTTCTCAATTTCCTGGATGTCTAGAAGCATTTCTTTTTGATCTGTTTTCTTAGTATTGTTAAACTGTTCCTCCATCTTATCAACTTTTGCTTGAAGATTTTCTACTGCCACTGTCACTCGCGTGATGCCTCCTGACAGAAGGGCTATGTTATCGGTTGCTCTGTCAAATAACTCGTTATCATTTTCCGGATATTGGATTTTATCCCTGTATTCTTCGTAAGTCTTAAGAACACTCGCTAGGGCCGTTGCGCTAGATGAGATATGGGTTTTGTGGAAAATTAGAGACATTTTTTCCAGTCTAACAGCGTCAAGAGGCGATAGGTGCGTCTTGGAATGGGCAAAAA